AGAGCAGTGGGGAAAGGTGTAGGGGATATGCGCAGTTCAAAAACATACATACACATACGTGTAAAATCTTCCCCGATAACCTGCCCAAGTAACACATCCCTAGTGGCTCACCTCTCCTCTCACCCATTCCCCAGCCCAATATCCTGCCCAAGTAACACATCCTTCGTGGCTCATGTCTCATCTTCCCCATTAACCAGCCCCATAACCTGCCGAAATAACACATCCTTCACGAGCAGCAGGAGGCATGCTGCTGTGCAGCTCCCTTCAGGTGCTCTGCTCATATTTGTACAAGCATTGGTACAAAACTTATAAGATTTTACACAAATACTTAAAAGATCCTGCAGGCAATTATGCACAGTCGCTTTTACATATACCCTAAAAAATAAATGCAATAACTAAATGGATGTCTCTGTGTCACCTGTGACTCAAGTGTTTGTGGGGCACGCCTCGGTAGGGCTGACGGGCAGCACGGCCAGGTATCAAACGCCTGGTGGATGAACTCTGGAAGGGCTGGGAGATAAGGGACTGGGAACACTACGTGGAGGCAGTGCTTGCCAATACAAGCATGCTCCCAGGGAGTGGTTTCACAACCTGCAGCTGTAATTTAATGTTGGCTGCTGGCAGACAGGCGGTCACGCGTCCTCCGTGCTGCCCTCAGCTGTATGTGTGCCCCTTTCCTTGAGCAACACCAGCAGTGAGCCCGTTTGGAGACCCAGCCCCACAGGTAGCTGGGGGTCACAGCTTGCTCCCCACAGGCCCTCGGCAGCTGATGCAGGACTGATTTGAGCTGCCTGCAGCTGGCAGGCAGTTCAGAGCCAGCATCCGTGACAGAGGTGTGCCAGGAGGCTGGCGAGGAGGCAGGCTGCTAGCAAGAGGTTTGCTGAGTAATCTTACCTGGGCTTTTAAGAGGAAATAAATAAACCAGCATGGGATGCTGAAGCTAGGCCACTCATATCTGGACTGGGAGGGCCTGAGAGTACTTTTGAGCTACACCTCAGCCCGTGTTAGGGGAGGCTCAGGGCCCCTCCTGCCTTCTACATTCCTTGGTTGCCTCCATAGGACCGTGGCAGCAAGTCAGTAGGAAGCCATCTCATGCTTCAGCCCAGACCATTTTGGATCAGGATCCTAGCTTCACCACAACATCCCTGAGGCTCCACAGGGTCTGTGGTGTATATCACGTCTGTAGTCGCAGAAACATCAGAGGAGCTCTTTGTAAGGCTGGAAGGATAGCTACCCAACTTAATGTACTTCACTTCTCTCCTTCCTTCCTCCTCAGCCCTTCTGAGAAGCATAGCAGAGAGCTTTATCACAGATACTGGCTTTAATATTTCATTGGCAAAGCTCTCCAGAATGCAATTTACTTTATTGTCATGCCACACAAAATACAACTGAGGTCCAAAAGGTCTGAATTGCAGTTTTCTATAATAACTACTCAACACATTCTGCCCCCAAAGTGGAAGAATTCTTTGCCAGCAACTGGCAAATGCTTTCTGTACATGAAACAAAAAGATAAACAATAAGTAAAGCTCCTGATCTGTGTTGTGCTAAGAGGTCCAGAATAACTGGAAAGCCTCATGCTCAATATGCTGGAAGTCTTGCCTGGTCACTTCAGTTCCCCATAACTTGGTTTCTCCATCTGCAATGGGCAGTATTTTCGTCCTTTGCGAAGAGCCCTGAAAAGTCCTGTGCTTGGGCAATACGTGTGAAATCATGACGTTGTCTTAGGCAATACAGACGGAATACAAGTGCATCTAGCTTAGTCATCTAACATTTTTCTGAATGGGAAGTGCCACGCAGTCTTCTCTGTTTTATTTTCAAGTTTCGTGACTCCCTTCAGGACGTCTACTTCAGCCTGCAGTGCTTTCCCTTGTTAGAATTGTATTGCATGTGTGCAGCTTTCTACAGTGAAGGAACAAAAATTAGAGTGGGAGAGTGCAACATACCAAGATTAAATAGCAGTGGGAGGAAATCCACATGCACCTTAAACATTCAGGGTGATGTATAGTATCTGCTTTTCTTCCCCACAGCTCTAGAGGGGGAATCCCGATATAGTTGCCAGACCCATCCCTCTTGCCAGTTATTCCAAAAACTGGTTGTTGCAGTTCTTCACTGCTGTTTAATAAACGATCACATAATGCATTTATGGAGGTTGGTCTTCAGCAGACCTAAATCAACATATGGTGTTCAGTGAGTGTTTCTTCTTGGGGTCTTATTCCCTATGCTTAATATTTGCACTTTTTTAATGGTTTGAAAGTCCATTTTAAAAAGCGAGCTATTCTGGGATGACTGGACTGAATAAACAAACTTGCAAAGAAGAGCAAAAAGCTCTTGCCAGATCTCATAGCTTTCAGTATCCCTGAAAAGAGCTATCACTTCGGAATGGCCCCTAGCCCCACAGATCTGGGGATGCTTCTACTGCTCTGTGATAAGGGGATGGTAAACTGAGTAATCTCTACTTCTTGACTTTGCACACACAGGTAACCTGGTAATGCCAAGAGTTCAGCAGCCGCGATCGTCTTCTAGGCAATTGCCTGGAAACTAACAAACAGAAGCAAACCGATACCGAAACTAAGTCGACTTCAAAAAAAAAAAAAAAAAAAAAAAAAAAAGACAAAACTTCTGCTTTGACAGTATGTTGAGCTTGTTACGTTAAAAATAAATAAATACTCTTCTTATCCTCTGATCTTGCTTTCTGTAAACCCTGGAGTGCTGAGCTCACATTCGGCCATAAGCAAAAGGTATCTCAGCTATCCATGATCTGCCAGGAACTGATAAGACCTGGGCTGGGTTCCCCTGAAGTGGCGTCACAGCTTAGTTCTCAGAGGTGGCAAGAAGGGAGATAAAAAGGATGGCTAGTCAGAAATTGTCAGTTTTCCTCTGAAATAGGCTGGTTTGACAGGAAGGAACTGTTTCACCCGGAAATAAACAACCCAAAACCTTGAAATTCGTAAATAACCCCAGTCTTGTTTCCTGAGTGTGTTGAGAGGGTGGTCACCTTCTGCCTCACACTCCTCTCGCCACCCCTTCCATCAGCATCACCACAGTAAGGAGTGTGCCAGGATGAAAGAGCTGAGCCAGGGGATGAGGCAAAAGTGGCAGAAAGGAGTTGTGTGTTGTTTTTTTTTTCTTTCTAGGCAGACCCCTAAGAAGGAACTGATGATTCAGACAGGAGGAACAACACTAGACAATGGCTGCAAAAACTGTGCAAGATAATTCAGATGTAGGTTAGCTCCCATGGCAACCACGTACCAAATGACTGCACTTCTGTGCCTCTAAACCTGCCAGCAGTCACTTTTGTTTGTGTGTTTGTTTTTAAGGCTTAAAAAAAAAAAAAAAAAAAAAAAAAAAAAGTTCATCCACCTTAATAATCATGTTGGATTGCAAATGCGGTGTAGAAGGGATTTTCTTGAGCCGCTTGGTTCAAACATTTGGAAGAGGGAAGTAGGAAAAATAATATGCCTTGAAAACTCAGATTTTGCTAGCCAGTTAAAATATATACAACTTCTTAACCTTTAATGCTGTCAGTTCTAACCCATAACTCATACTGCTTTGACTTTTTTCCCCGTGTTTACCAGGTCAGCTTGACACCTTTACCTCCAGTGCTTATGTAGGAAAGAAATTGGTTCTAGCAGGTCCATACATTTTTCATTGAGATGTGTTAAAAAAGGAGTAGGGCATTGTGTACTAAGCCAGGATTTGGGAGAAAGACAGTAAAATATTTGATCCCTAAAAGCAAGACTAGTATGTTCAATAGAAGCAAGGCTATCCAAAAGCACACTGCAAGGCACGTGTATATTAATAGCTACTAAGAATAGTCCATTGCTGAGTGTGAATGAAAGCATCCAAACGCATTCCCTTGATAAGCTAGGTATGTATTTGTTTCTCTAGGCACACGTCAAAGTGTCCTCAAATGGAAAAAAGGCTTTAAGAGCTTTTTCCTAAGCGCTGCTTCCAGATCATGTATGGGAAATCCTAGGGAAACAGGGTCTTCACAGAACGTCTCTGCAGGAAGCCTGTAAACCATAATATCCACTGAACTTATGTTACGTAGTCCATGAAGACTCTGGAGTAGAAAGAGATCAGTTTTGAAGTTCCCATAGAAGCTTGGTGACCATCAGTGAGATGTTCACCCCTCAACAGGGAATCACTAGGGTATGATCTGCCCGAGGCAGCAGGAATCTCTGAGCCCAGCCACAGAAGCAGCTGTGGTCAGTGCAAGGAGATAGTCCCCAGCCTTCCCACAATCACAGGATCCTCACGAGTGTAGGCTGGGGTATTCAGCCATTACCACCTGCCTCCAGCCAAAATGCTGGGCAGAGATCTTGATTTTGATGACATTTTCCCCATAGCTTCTGCACAATGGGATGTGTTTGTACAGATTTCCTGTATTTGGAAAATTGAGAATGGTTAATGCTACTCTTCTCTATCAATAGGACTGGATCAGTATGATTAGGGACAGGAAAAAAGCTGAGCTCAGGAAGCAGCAACAACGCCAGGACTTCAAAATTCTGTGGTTTGCCTGGACTTCTTCCTCCCTGTTCTTCTGCACATCACACGTCTGTCTAACCTCACCTCCTGCTGAGCTCTGTGGTGTCTCCTGAGAGATATCCCGCTGACATGGCCCAGTGAAGTGCATCCAACGTTGTAAACCCATACTTTTCTGCACACAGCTGACCTGTATTCCTGGCCATTAAGCTGCTGCCTGTCTCTCTCTGCACCTGCTGGACACCTTGCAGTTCCAGGACACATTCCTCACATCTGCCTCTGAGCTCTCCAAGGGTTTCTGCGATGTTTTAGTCCGGTATTTCAGTCATCCCCCGTGCTAAAGCGCCAGTAACACCTAGCAGGCTTCTAACCTGCCGGGGGTTAATTCAGGGTCTCCTTGTGGTCTCTTCTGCGGCTTTCTTGTTTTCTCTGATCCTTTGGTCCTTCACCTGAGACTTGCAGCACTGGCTCTCAGATCAAATGCTTCTCGATAGTTTCGCTTTCCCTTGTGACCCCAGCACAGATCAGCTCTTCTGTACAGTTCATTTGACATACGAAGACGGGAGCAGATGTATTAGGTCGAGGCAGAGATCTCCACGTCTCGCAGCAGTGACAAAGAGTGGACACCTATGGGAAACAGGGTGAGTACAGGGGGTTCCTTCCCCTTTTATATCTTCCACTTTCTGGCAACCAGCAGTAAGAGGTTTTTGAGCCAAGGGGCACACCCAGTCCCTGGCCTTAACATTAAGCTGGTTTTTGTTGTTGTTTTTAATATTAACATTTACGGTGACTCCAGGATGTCTGTTGAGTGACAACAACTCATTCACAACTATCTGCATGTTCTGGGGTTGTGTTTTGCACTATTTTGTATTCACCAGCACCATATTTTCTTTACCATTATACTACCCAGGCAGCTGATGTAAAATCCCCGTGCTAATTTCTCAGGCAGCTTTTGTTTTTGGCTACTGGAAACGACGCTGTATCATCAGCCACCTTGGCTATCCACGGTCTTTTCAAGCCCATTTGTGAACGCGTTGGATAATGCAGGATCTGGCACAGTCTCCTTCCCCTGCCTTCCTCTTGTAACTTCCTTGAATTGTGAGAAATGATCAGTAGCTCCCACCTTTGCTTTTCACCCCCTGTCCAGCTCCTGATTCACAAAGGGACCTTCCTTCAAGCTAAGGCTTTGTAATGAGCCCTTGGGGGGCTGTAGGGAATCCTGTGAAAAGTTCTCTGAAAATCACCAGTATACAAATGCTGGGGGAGACTAGAATGGGGAGAAGGATGGGGAACGAGGAAAGGTGAAACCTTCTCTGAGACCAGAAAGTTTCCAGTCTTCCTTATGTCTAAGCCTCCCACGACCTGGGCAAGTTGTGCAGTCTGCCAGACCACTGCCTGTGTGAGAAAGCAGTACATTTCCACTGAAATCCATCTGGCAATGCTGATGACGCCAGCTGAATATTCTGCTGAGCAGCAGATTTGTTAAGTCCGGGTTTATTAGCTCATGTCTTTGAACTTGCTTCTCTCGGTAAAAACCCTCTTGCGTCTTCACTGCGAACCAACTGTGCTTTGATCAGCAGGAATCGAACCCACTTTGACGGGATGCGAGAAACACCAAGCTCTGGTCGGACCGAAGTTGAGTAGGGTTAATGCAGATTTACACCGGAGTCAGAGGAGGCACAGCCAGGGTTTGTGCTTGTGCTGCCAGCGAAGTCAGCGAAGCTTTGTCATTCATTTCGGTAGGAACAGGAACACCATTTGTCGTAGAAGGATCGCTTGACACAACCTTTTTTGTAAGTAAAGAAGGAAGACGTTTCAGGAAACTTCACAGTGTCTTCTTTTTTCTTTTTATTATTCCTTTACCTGCTTTGATGGTTACTTTATTTGTCGTCTGGCAGAAAATGAAACTCACTTTAATCTCTTTTAATATCCGAACAGAGCTATAATGCACATAGACGGGCCCGTATTTAGGAGTGGTGCCAACACTGAGTAATTTTAAAATATTATATAGTTGATAATATCTGACCAAATATTCTAGAATAAGTCACTATAGAAATGAAGGTAGGTTTCCTGTGTGGCTTACAATATCATACTAAAATACAAAAGAAACCTGACTAGGTTTCAGTTATGAAATAATAGATACCGAGCCATTTTCAGATTTGCTCCATATTGCTGAAGTGTTTAAGCAGGTGTGTTTCACAAACTTTGTGAAACAAAAGCTCAGCTGAAAGCAAATCAACACTAGGAAGCAAAACCAGTGCTGAGTGATAGTGCTTAAAAACTGAGAAACACGAGTGGTTTTAAACAGCAACTGAAAAGATGCTTTGATGTTTTTTAAAGCACTGCCTCATACTCTAAAACATCTAATAGTTTTCTGCAGTTACCTACGAAGCACTGCATCTTACATGCGTGTTGCTTCTGTGGCTTGGATTATACCAACCGAGTATTAACTTCTGTCTTGTAATTTGAGCGTGTCAACAATTGTTGAGGAGCAGGAAAACATGCTCATGGACCTAACTGCTAAAAAGCATTTGTTCTCTTCCAGGACGTTATCTTCTGCCTACAAATGGGGGAAAATGGCAGCGAACCTAAAAGCCTCATATCTCCACGTAACCAACAATTATCCTGTCGGTTCATAAGAAGAGAAAACACCCTCTGCAGCGCATGCAACGCTAGGCAAAAGTGTTTGCTGAATTCATCTGTAATGCAACTTTTTAGCTCCGTCTCAGCTCAGAAAACTCCCTTCCCTTGGACTGTAAACTGGAAAAATGCCACGTCTGTGCAGAATGACAAGCTGTCTCTCTCTGAAGCAAGACAAGGCTCAGCCATGGCACAGGCGGAAGCATTTAGGTCAAAGCCTGCTATCAGAGGCAAAGGTGGCCAACGTGACCTGAGGGGAAATTAAGAAAATCTGAAGAAGTCTGGCTGATTTTGCTTAAGTCCCTAAAAGCCTTGAATTCGTTTGAATTCACCGCAGGCAAATCACTGCATGCCTTAAAGTATACAGATGCCTTTTGACAGTAGGGCTCGTATTGTGTAGCTCTCCAGCATGACTTGGGAAGATAAGACATGAACAATGGAGAGTTATTAGCATGAATAATTTTCCATGCAAATTGGAAGCACCACAGAACAATGCGATGGCTGTAGCTTAATGGCACCAGGTTGTCTGCAGGGCTGCACATAAAATATCACAGGAGGAAAGACATAACAAAGACAAAAGCCACTCGAACAGAACTGCTTTCAAAAATGAGCTGGGGCAGCTGGACCACAAGATCCCTTTTTTCCTGGAAGTGGTTTCAGAGATTGGGTGCCCAGAAAACACGCCTGAAAAAGCTAGAGCTAAAAGACTACTGCAGATTTTCCAGACCTGAGAAACACTTCATGAACCCAACACACAAATCTCAACGCCTTCGTTAGATCTGTCTTCGTTCCACAGCCTGGAGTCAGCAGGACCAACACATTTGCAAAAAGGCTAACATCTATGTTAATAAAACACATTGGTCCCTGTAATACAGCAGGAAAGAGAAACAACACAAAGAGATAAGCAAATTAACATTTTTTTATGTCACTATTTCAGTAGAGACTTCAGTGGAAAGGGTGTAAGAAGGAGGAGAGCTAGTGGAGGTAGCAGGGACAGGGATACACATCCCCTGGGGTGGGTGGTTCATGTTGCTACTGTGACTTCCTCAAGACACATTTCTGCTTTCTGTGTTGCTCTGAATCACACCCGAGCAGCAGAGCTGGTGCTGATCCAGGTGACAGCATCTCAAGCTGCTTGAAGTATCAATCCCAAGAAGCCCAAGGGGAAAAGAGGTCACCAAAGAGCAGCTGCTCCACTGGCTCTTCTGTTCCTTCCTCGCTAAAGCCTGCCCTGCTGATAAATAGCTGACACCCACAGGAGTGATCATACCGAAGCAAAGTTTTTCCAGCTGGTGTTTTGGTGGACAGCCTACGTAGTAGCAGGATGCTCTCTGAAGCACGTAGATCTCTTTTGTCTTATTATTTTAGATCATAAGCAACAAAAACAGTATGTTCTGCAGGAACCAAAGAAGGCAAAACACCAACTCTTGAGGAACAGGAGCTATGACAACCTGTCCGTGCTGCAGATTCAGTGTCTGTCTGACCCTAAAAGAAATTTGAAAGAGACCTTTAGTAAAAGGGGTTGCATTTGCTGAGTCGAATAGGAGAGCTGTGTGTCTGCCTTCTAAAACTCCCAAATGTAGTTTGTGTTTTACTGGAAACCCAAAGGTGACAGCCAGGTCTGGTACATCGAACCCAAGCATTCACTGAAATCAGTCGAGCTGCATCTTTTGCCCCTACGTCTGAAAGTCTTCCAACAAGTTTCTGACACAGAAGAGGTCACTCAAGCCATTCCTAGTGCCGTGGGAGGTAGGGAGAAGTGATTCCCTCGGAGTAAGACTGCTCTATAATGATGCTTGTGAAGTCTTAATTGCTGCTGCTGCCTCTACAAGCCTCTCTGTGGTTATGCAAGGAGGATTTCGGTCTCTGTGCTGTTAGTCTGACACCTTCAGTGCATACTTGAGTCTCTGCTGAAAACGTTGATACTAAATCTTAAGATCATGAAGTCGGTTTCCTCTACCCATGTGTCAAAGCCAGAATGAGGAAGGAAATATAGATTTCTTTTCTTTATTCTGTTGTAGTGATGAATCATTACTCAATCCAGTAGACAAGGCACAGGTTTTCTGCACACGTGGAAGCAAAATTACCCTGTTTCCCTAGTACATATTTATCCAGTTCCCCTTTTATCTTTTCCCTTAATCTTTGTCCTTCACTCATCTCACTACTCGTTTCAGTACCCCAGTCCCCTTCTTGCTCACAAATCACAGCCACAGGCCTTAGTATCTTTCATTCTCTAGGAACTGCAGAGTAATTTATTCTGCAGAACAATAATACCTAAAGGATAAATGGTAAGTGGGTCAAACACTAGTTACAACAGAATGCTTGCTTCTCTTTATATGAAAGTCTGCCTTTACCTCCACTTCTGCCTTCCAGGAATCTGGCCTTCATCCACTGCGAATGAAAGCGACCATACGGAGGAGCTTTATTTTGGACCTGTCTTCAAGGGGAGTAACTGATTTTGTTGTTGTTGTTTTCACAGAATCACAGAATCACAGAATCTCTAGGTTGGAAGAGACCTCAAGATCATCGAGTCCAACCTCTGACCTAACACTAACAGTCCCCACTAAACCATATCCCTAAGTTCTACATCTAAACGTCTTTTGAAGACTTCCAGGGATGGTGACTCCACCACCTCCCTGGGCAGCCCATTCCAGTGCCTAACAACCCTTTCAGTAAAGAAATTCTTCCTGACATCTAACCTAAAACTCCCCTGGCGTAACTTTAGCCCATTCCCCCTCGTCCTGTCACCAGGCACATGGGAGAACAGGCCAACCCCCACCTCGCTACAGCCTCCTTTAATGTACTTATACAGAGCAATAAGGTCACCCCTGAGCCTCCTCTTCTCTAGGCTGAACAAGCCCAGCTCCTTCAGCCGCTCCTCATAGGACTTGCTCTCCAGGCCCCTCACCAGCTTCGTCGCCCTTCTTTGGACCCGCTCAAGCACCTCGATGTCCTTCTTGTAGCGAGGGGCCCAAAACTGAACACAGTACTCGAGGTGTGGCCTCATCTGGTTTCCAGTGTAAAAGTAACATCAGGCTTTCAGGTAAACCGAAATATCTGTTTTCTGTGTCAAATACAGACTCCAGCCTGGAAAAGAGGTGGCTGAAGAAAGATGTGCACAGAGATCTATCAAATTATGGGCCACAGGGCAAGTGAATGGGTGATGGCTGTTCCTAGATTTTATTTATTTATTTATTTATTTTTCAATACAAGAGCTAAGGGGCATCAAATTCCAAAACTTCCACAGAGCAGCCTGGAACAAAGGAAGTGATCCTTTACACACTGAGTTAAACTGTGACAGTCCTTGCTGCAAAAGGCTGTGTGTACTAAGGTTCAATAAGCAACTACCAAAATCCGTAAAGGATCAGTAAATAGGAAAGCTTTCAGCAATGGAAGTCCCTGAGCTACACAATACTGAAGGACAGAAGAAGAATATACTGGAAAATTTTCACTGTAACCTTACCTTATCCTTTTACTCCCTCTTAGGCATTTGCTGTCATCCACCCTTGGAAAAGGGCTAAAAGGGTATCCAGTCTGACCAGGCACAACTCTTTTTATGCTCTTCTATTTTGGCTCAAAATAAGGATATCTTATGTACAGCAGCATCTACTGCCCACTGAGCTCAGCAAAGGTACCAGTCCAGCTTTATGACTTCAAAATTAACATCTCAGGGGCAGCTCTATTGCGTGAAGTGGGGTTTCATGCTGGTCATCTTCAGGATTTCCCATTGGTAAGTGTGCTTATTTTTGTGTAAAATATAACAGCACAAACCCAGAGTAGAGCCACATTTGGACTGACACTCAGCTCGTCTCAGCATCAGACACAAATCCCATTTTAGGATGAAGTGAACCTTCGGTGACCCTATCCCAATGTCAGTTTACTGGCTGACCAGGGAGAAGGTCACTGCCTCAACAAAGATGTGGGAGAAATGGCGATGGTTAGATGGGCAGCAGCAAAGTCAGAAGCACTACACCTCTTGGAAATGAAAGACGGGACTTGAAGCTCCCTCTAGATTAAGAAACAGAGGAAAAACTCCCCAGATCCTGAGACCAGGTGCACATTTTAGCTGCATCCTAAAACCAGTCACATAAACCTCCTGCTTGCTCTTCAACTGGAAATCTGCTACGTGCTTTTCATGCTTCTCGTATGCTTGTGACATTTGGACTGTTGTTTCATTATTTTGTGGCCCCCGAGACACCTTTTGATAAATAAGATACTTCTGCCTTGCCTTGGGCCGGGTGTCACTCGTGTGTGTGTGGCAGGGAGGTGAGAAAACTGAGTAGGGCTGGCACCTACAGGAGTACATGATAGTACTACGTTATAAGTTGTGACTCCCAGTCTCAAATATAAGTACTTATGCATTTTTTCCATCACAGTTATTATTCTGAGTAGTTTCAATTGTCATCTCTGGGCAGGATTCTCAAAACCACAAAGTGTCAGCCTAACTCTGCTTCCACCAAAGTCAACAACATTTTTATTGAATTTGGTTTTGGGTGAAGGTTGTGCACTACCAGCCATTTCTGAAAGCCAAACAGATCCTCCAAACAGAGGGCCCTCTGTTGAAGGCATTCTGGCTAAATTAAATCCTTGTTTCTAGTCCTGATTCTAGTTCCTCAGAATATTTTAAACACTAGGAGAGGTATCCGACCATGAATAAATCACAGAGATGAGGGCAGTAAACTTGGGTTAGAAATATGTGCAAGTCAAACATTGAAAGAGATAATATCTACAGAATGATATGAGTTAACTGGCCAGCTAACAATGCAAATAAAACCTAAATTCTCTTATGCCCAGAGCTCACAGGAGCCTTTTTGCAAAGGCTTGACTCTTGCTGCCATACTTTAAGGGATTATATAAAACTGCTGTTGTCCTGCCACTCCTGCAGCCTCATTCACTGTCAACTTCTGGCACTTTATTCCAATGTTGCAATCATCTTTTTCAAATTAAATGATTGTACCATTCATTCTCCAGCATGGCCCTCTAGAGTTTCATGCTTGGTCACAGGGAGGATGGTTAAGCACTCCAACAGGTGCCCAGAGAGACTGTGTAACCAAAACCCAAAGAAAGCTTGGACTAAGCAACTTATGGAGACCCCTTCCAACCTAAATTAGTCTCAGATTCAGTGACTGTGCTTCTTTTTTCCTGAAATCACTTACTACTAAGAGATCTATAAAAACACAGAGATAGTAGCTCTTTACTAATAACTGTAGCCTCACAGATCTGTTTTTTTCTTCTCTGGCCTTTCTTCTGCCACCATAATGAATACCCTCCTTCCTTTTTTCTGTCATAGTGTCTACCATCCGTTTTGAAAACAACACAGGCAAAACGTTTAAGCCTTTCTCCCCAAAACCTTCTGCACAGTCTCAGTCATCAAGGCACCACAAACATCTTCTGCTCAGTCTCACTATTATGTGCCATCGTTTACTTACCCAGCTCTGGAAACCTACATATTCAAGCAGTATCCAAATGTTACAGTTCCTTTGCACATCGGCTTTCGAAGACTCATCCCTCCCTTTCACTCGTCAGGGATCCAAGACTGGGAGCCAGAGATCTGAGTTTTAAATTTAGCAGTATATCTACTACTATACATTTTTCCCTGTAGTCTTTGATGATTCATTTAAGATATTCTAGAGCATCAGGGATTTTTTTTGCTTTCCATTATTTTCGTTTTTGCTAAAACTGTTGATCTCCTCAGCTCATTAATAAAATAATCTCTGTAAACTAAAAAGGAAGATGAATTCTAGATCTTTGTTCTCCTCCCTGTTCTCATATCCTGCCTTTTTATTGGAAGATGGGAAGGGTGGTAGCAAAGATACTGGATTTGAGATTCAGAAAACTTGGGGTTCTTTCCTGCATTTAGGAAGGTCTACACTGCTATGTGGAGCTTCATATGAATTAGTTCAGAGGCAAAGGTGGTTCTCCTGGAGCACATGAAGACTTTAAAAAGTAGTTGTGAAAGTAGAATTCCTTATTTAAAGCTACCTTTGATATATATTTACCAGACTGAAGTCTAGAGAGGGTAAACATATCCAAAGACCATGCTAAAAATTGCACATCGGGAGAATGAGGCTAACAATAGTTCCTCCCTCTTTCCCTTCTTCATCTGCTTATGATGATCTTAAGACCTTTGCAGCAGGAATTTATTTTGTTTGGAAAGCCAGACATCCACTCTTTTTAATGAATGCATGGTTTTAAGCAGAAATTAAGAGAAGCCCAACAGCTTTTACTGCTTCACCTTTTAAAGGCCAGTCTTCTATGAAAAGCATCTTCCTCTGTGCTGCAGCCTTTCAGAAGAGATTCCTACCTTCTGAGATTAATTTTTGTCATTTAATCTTGGTCCTGTAAGTAAGGCTAGGAAATGCAGCTGAAACTAAAATCTTCCATACAGTTTCTGTTTTCTCTGAATATTTTTGAATATCAGGTGACACATGTGGGTGGGGGAAATTGCAGATTAGCCTTAACCAAATCTCAGCTTTTGCTGGAACTTCCCAAAGCTTTTCTCACCCTTTGCTCCTGACTGAAGTTTTGCTAGTTTTACGACTTTGGGTGCATTCCAATTAGAACTTAAATTTGGTTTTGGTTTGCTGATTTGCAATGTCCCAAACACTTCCAAGTTTCATTTCATCATTCAGATTTATTCCTTTGGTCTTCAGTCCTGAAGATAGCTCTAAAATATCACCTTGGCATCGAGCATGCAGACCACATTCAAACAAATCTTCAGGTGATTTCCAAAAGACTTTTCATCTGAGTAAGGAAGAAGTCAATGGGGATGAAATTTACAGGACTGAAGCAGAGTGAACCCATACTAACAGCAGCTTCATTGTACCCTTTTAGAAAGAAAAGATGAAAAGTAACTTCATTATTTTTTAGGGTAGAAAGACAACTCTTTCCAGTACCCATCAGAAGATGAACTTTGCAATGAGTGTAGGTTTGGAAAATGTGGTCTGGAAAGTGAACAAACAATCCAGAACAAAGTGAGCTTTTTTCTACACTCTTTCTCAAGATGAAAACATTAGTCTTCAGAAAAGGAAAAGGGAAAAGTAAACTTAGAGCTGGAATGCATTATCAAAAAGAAGATGTTTGTGGAAGTAGATTGATATCACTGGAAAAAGCCAAGCAGGGCAAAAATGTTAAGAAGAATCTTTACAGCTACTGTCTGACTGCATGGGTCTCCTTTCTGGTTGGGAACATAATGGATGTTTCAGAACATGTGCTAAATCATACCAGAAGCCACCAATTTCTTCCAAGTGATAACTGACTAAAAAAGTTGGGATTTTCTTCCTTACTTTAGCACGCTTTCAGTTACTCATGCTTTTTCTTTGGCTTTCTCCCTCATCTCACCTCACAAGAAGTTTTTTACCTGCTTTTCTCCTTTAATGTCTTCTCTTGCCACCACGATCCTTCCCTCTTCCAGCTCCTGGTTTATTTTGCACTTTCTTGCATCACTCCCTCTCTTTCCCGTCTGTCTCTTTCTCTTCCCTACACAAACAGCCTTGTTTATACTCTGTCTTTAAGTCTGCTACCTCTACAGCTTTTTTTCCCCGCTCATCTCTTGAAGAATAAGATTCATTAGGGAGCAGGTAAATGTATTTTTTTTTTTATCAATAAGGCATAAGGACTAAAATTACAGCCAAAATATATGTAGAATAATTTGATAAAAAATGAGCAGCAAATTTCTCTCTCTAAAATCAGTGTTGACATAGCTCTTCCTGTTGATTTTAAAATGTATTTTTTTGGGACTCTACCAATTATTTCTAGTTGTTTCCAACATCTCTGTTACTTTTCTTCCTTTTTCACCATTTACTTTTATTAGCTTGGGTTTCTTTCAACTAGTTCATTGCATTGGTGTGTTTGTGGCCCTTTTTTTCCTTTTTTTTTTTTTTTAATTTTTTTTTCGATTTTTACCAAAGAAGCTACTTAGTTTTTATTCTTACATGTATTTTCACTTCTTCTGACTAATTCATCCTATACTACCAGCCTTCTCCTTAACCAGCTACAGCTATTTTCTGCAGGCTTGATACTGGGAACAGGAAAGAGCTCTTTCTTTCACAATTATTTTGCGGTCTAACTTCACAAGTAAATCTAACTAATGATTTCAGATACCCCAAGTTATTGAAGCTGTTTGTATAATTAAATATTAAGCCTCCTCCAGTTTAGCTCCTGGCAACTGAATCCAACTAAACTATTCTCACCATAGCCTCCAGTGCCTTCTTAACTAAACTGTACAACTGCAGCACTGCGGTCTTCCCATTTTGGATCTGCCAGTTGTTCTTGACAAAGCTGCCATCTATCTGAAAGTTTGGCATTCACTGGCTTCAGGGTCTCCGTTCTCTCCTAATCCTCCTCCACCTTGGTGACAGTTTACAAAGCTTTTTGCAGGTCATCTATATTCCCCCCTCCATCACTTGAAGAGGGACAGAGTGTTCCGTCTGCTTTTGGCTCTTTTCTCTCCTTCTGCCCCTTATCTCTAACTAATCACTCCCCCAATGCACTTAACAACTTCATGCTCACAGCTTACAAATCCGCGTTTCCACTCCAGGCATGAATCATTTTCGCTCAGCTAACCACTCAGCATGTCTTTCTGACAGCTCACAGTGGATGTGTAATCATCGGTGTAAGCTTAATATGGTTAATCGTCCTCCCCCAGTCATTTCCCACCTGCCCCTTTTTTCTCTCACACTGGAAACATCACCATCCTGCCTCTCATTTGGGCCCATAAAGGCAGCATCATGTTCAGCTTGGATTTCTCTCTTGATCCTTGTGCTAGGCTACAAATAAATCTTGCAGATACTTTCTGAATAACAACCTTAAATATAACATTTTTTCTATTCATCCAACTGAAATTTTGATTTGTTTCTCAACATGAATTATCTCAGTTCAATTGGACTTGATGATCTTAGAGGTCTTTTCTGACACAAATGATTCTATGATTCTGTGATACCTGCAATAGTCTTTTTCTTTTCCTAGCTTTGTCAACGCCATCCTGTGCTGTGCAAATATTTCAGCACAGATGAAATTTTGTACCTTGATCTATTGATTTACTTTGCTTTCCTGGGACATTTCTCCTCTTATTCTTGTTTTTCTATTACTATAAATACAACCCTACCAGTCTTCTGTTTGTGGGACCTGTCACAATATAGCCCTAATGTACTTACTGCCTTGCTTGCTATTGGAGTGCTGAGTAGAAGAGGGGCTTCTCAAACAACCTGTGGTACAGCCACCTCTTAAATTTTGAGATGTGCACCTCTGCATTTGCTTCTATTCTATTTATGTGTTCCTTCACATTTCCCTTTAAAATAGTCCTGTGTTGTAAATCCTAAAATGATATGCTATGGTGAGATCAATTCAAGTTCCCTCTTCATCACCAGACTCTGTTCCTCTGCTGTGTCTTTGAGTTACTCTTAGATTGTGAATCTCTAAGAGGAGAGGACAGCCACGGTAGCAATGGGTTGTGTGCTTCCTGAGTAAAAATTCTAAAATTATAGAAATACAGGCAACTGAATAGATAAGTGAATAAATAATAACTATGTTATTCTTGTATTAGGTAGTTCTCTTCACTACTACTGAATGCTAGAACACTTCAGTAAATTACACATCTTCCAAATAAAATTTGCATGTATTTGCAAGTATCCCGGCTGAGGTTCGTAAATGCTTGCATAATTCAGATGATTGTATACCAAATTACACAACTTAATCATACTTAAGAACTGAATAAGATCCATCAACAGCTTCCTTATTCCACCACAGTCAAGTAAAATGAGCATACGGCAAAGAATCCAGTAAATTAACACAAAGTGTTGCACAAAGACTAGTGCAAATAAGTCTTGCTCTCATTTCCAGGCACAACAGCATATGACATATATTTTCAGTCTGGACACTATGGGAATCCAATAAGCAATAAACAAACAAATACAGTGTGAACACAAGAGTTCTGCTTGCTGTGCTCCCTAACACTTATATCTGAGCAGATTCTGTAAAAATACTTTTTTATAGATCAGCATCCAATTCATTGCAGAGATATGTCTACACGTGCCACTAGTGGAATATAATATGAATGCCAGGTGAGGTGATTATGATGTTGCATGACTGAAAAAAAAGGCTTTTGACATATTGGGATTTTTTTAATCAGTGCATATTATTGAGCTGTATATAAGGTTTTAGAATAGCATCAATAGAAAGAACAACCAAAGAAAACCTCCTAAAATTGCTGGAAAACAAAAAAGTGAATTGGCAGCCAAAGAACATCTATAAATATATCATATAACCACTTGCTATACAGAGGCACATGTAAAAAAAAAATAAATAGGAATGATAGAAATTTAGGCAATGATACAAATCACTTAAGAAATACAAATTCTATACATTATGTATCTTAAGAAACAAAAGTAATTTGACTTTTAGATTTATTCCTGAAGCAAAATAAATCAGTTATCTCTCATTCCATGCTATGAGGCATGCTGTAATTAATGTAACACTATACTCTGCTGAGTTACATAGCTGATTCATTTAAGGAGATGCCAAGATAAGGAAAATAAATCTGTGCTTTTCACCTTTTAGGGAAGTTCTTACGAGACCCAAAACTGATTGACATTTTTATCAATGTGTGAAATATCTCATAATACATTTTCTGCTGACATCCTAGCAGTTTTCATAAGATGGGGAAAAAATAGCGCCGTACTCTTTCTAGTCCTCCATCCTCAGTAAGATCAAAACTCTAATACTTCTATTATCATTCAACTAGAAAACGATAATCTAGCTGAAAGATCCTGTGAAAGAAATAGAAAAACTTCCATTGCTTTGGGCAGGTTCGAAGTTGATGTTCGAAAGACTTCTTTGCCTGAGCTGTTGTCACAAAAATAAATAAATAATTAAACCTACCTAAATGGTTGTAAATGTTATAAACTTTCATTCTGAACGCAGTGTAGGATGATGTCCACAGTTGAGCTGACCTATCAATCTGTTAGATCAATGTTACAATACCAATAATCAAAACTGGTCCTGAAAATAAATATAGAAAGAATGGCTTCAACTTCTAAATGTATTTATAAGCAACTGAGCTACACAACGTGCTTCCTACTGCACCATACCTGCCCACGTATACACTCATATATAAATATATATTCTACCTACAAGCTTGAGACCCAACGTGGTAGATAAAATTTCTACATCCCAACTAATGTGCTTGAGTCATCTGAGCATTATTTTTTTTCTTTCTGCAAACATCAGAGGACTCCTCTTTCATCTGGCTAAAAATCCTGATGTGCTCATTCAGCTTTTCCCCAGTGCTTTATCAGGCAAAATTTCCCATTGCTTTCCACACCTTGCTTTCACAAACTTCCCAAACTTGCCGTTTCCAGGGAGTGGGACCAAGATGGGTCAAGCTGGTTTCATCATCAGACTCCCAAGATCCAGTTATGTTTACTGAAGACTATCTACACAGATGCCTTAATTTCTTTGAAGCACTTTCTAGGTCCTTTACACCCCTCTCTCCTCTTGTCCAGCTGTCTGGGACTCCCCCACTTGTGGCCGAACGTGGATTTTCCCCTAAAGGGGGAAGTTCCCCGGAGCAGAAGGGACCCACAGAGAAATGAATGTCTCCAGTTGTGCTGAGCGTTGTACAGATTCCCCAAGGGACTGACGGAGGGACAGTGAATTTCTTCCTTTGAACAAACTCCTCTCAAAAGGGCAAACATTGAAAAATTTTAACAAGAGTCAAGAGTTATGACACTTTATTAGAGGATGCCTACACAAAAGTGGAAGCAGGGATAAAGAGTATCATGCGTGCACGTTTCTTGCAGTACTGGATGATCTCATTAAGACTGCGGAGAACTTAAGGACCATGTTCTGCTATATGACACTTGAGAAACAGAGCAACAGAAACTCTCAGGAAGGCTCTAAGAGAGAGAGTTGTCCCAAGCAATGATTTTCAGATCCAGCCCAGGGTGTCTCTGGAGGATGTAACCCAGAACAAGAGGGCAGGATAAGCAAATCCAACCAGATTTGGAAAGAGTCTGGCTGTGTCTGAAGATACAGATACTTTCCTGGTAATCATTCTCCTTCTGAGAAAGTACTGTACTACTGGTTTGCCTGATTATAATGCATGAATCCACTTCTCCTTTCAGAAGAGGTAATAGGAGGTTGACCTCAGTGGCATCATGAAAACTGAAATGCGTATGGTACCAGACATTGTTCTAATAAACTTAGTGCAACTCCCCTGAAAAAGCAGGGATGGCAGTGAGATGATCTCTTCCTGAGGTGCTCTTTTCCCTCCAACATCTATTGCTTTGCAAACTTCCCCTTTTGTTCCATTCTGTACCATGCTGTCTTCACAATTCACAAACTTTCTATTCTCCATATTCTTCTTCTTTCATTTTGGTTTAATGATTCACCCTGTGTCTTCTTTGGGGTCGAGAACAGCTTCACATGATACGATGAGTGTGAAACGTGGGGGCATTTACAGGAACTTGGAAGCAATTCTATAAACATTCCTCTCAAGAAAGGAGCTTCAGAAGCCAGATTTTTTTTTTTTTTTTCCAGATAAAGTAGTTTCACAGAGTGCCTTCAGTGGTTTCCCTTTGAATGAAGAAAGAAACTAAAAATTATTATTGTATCACATTGGTGTTATCTGAACAGTTTCAGACTAATCTTTTATTAGCTCAACTCTTTCTGTGTCTGATAGTGACATCTTTTGTTTCTGCTGAAGTAGTGCAACTCATGCTCTTTGGATCATTTCTCTGAAGGGGGAATTTCGTACCTGCAGTTCAGTGGACACACTTTATATAATACGAATCCTTTTATCCACAAGTCCAGTTCTGTCTCTTGTCTTGTGCTGGGGATGAAATCAAGAATCAGACAAACACATAAAATCGTGTATCTGGACTTGTAACTGAATCAGATCCAGGAGCTTCTCACTTGACATCCCACTTCCTTCCACATCTCTGCACTGCATCTTGAGATACAGAGATATTCTACTAAATCCTTATGCCACAGACACTAATTAATGCTAAACTATTACTTTCTCCCCCTATTTTAGGAAGACTTGAGTGAGAGAGAGCCATAGGGAAAAAGAATCTGTATTAATAGTTTCCTGTGGGTGTCTATCAATATATCTTGTCATAATCTAAATCAGGGACCAACTTTTCTGTGAAGAATATGAAAATGAAAGAAATTAAAAATGAAGTAAGACTGGGAATCTCAACTCTAATATTCTCTTTTCTTGCATGCACAGATATTTGAATAGTATCTCCACGACCAAAACTGAAAAATGAGCTTTGATCAATCATGTAACCAAGAATCCTAGAGGGTAAAAATGCTATTCAAACAGTTTTATTTTTATGTTTTCCAAAATAGCGTATTATGCAAAATAACTAAAAAGCATTAAAAACAAACAAACAACACCAACAATAAAGCAGGAAAATGAGTTTCATGTAGATATTGGAAATGAGTTTATTCATACAAGTATTGCCTGGATAAACTTGGGTCCAGATTTAAGCTTTCACAGAATATAATGCTCTCCCTCTCAATCAGGGAACATGACCCTAATTCACACTAGGCAGTGCATCGCTTGTCAGACTCAATGCACAGGTCCTCAGGCCAAGCTTTCTCCAGTGTAATCTGTGTGTTCTCCCTGTCCTGGAGTTTTGCTTTACTGTGGATTTGAGTGCATCCAAAATCTCAGTGAAAAATACTCTGGATCCAGGCTGACACTCTGTGAGATGGCCAGTGCTTTGTTTTACCTCGGTAAATGACCCTAGGTCCAGCACTTCAGAGAGTCAGCCATCAGGATGTACCTTCTGCTTAGCCTGACACACAGCCTGAGGCTGCTGTCAGCCACCCTGATCTTAGCATGCAATTTATTTCAGCTTGTCTGGCAGGAAGTCCAGGTACTGAAGGCTGTAGCAAGAGTAAATGCTGCAAATAATCCTCTGTCGGAGTCTATGAATTTAATTAAACACCTGTCTATGCTTACATTATAACTGCAAATGATTTCTGTCCTGTGTGGCACAGTTACGGGTGAAACTAGCAGCTGCTCCTAGTCTAATAATGCTACAGTGAAAACCCTTGAGAGATTTGCCTCTTCCTCTCCACCTTTCCCCCCTTGGCTTCCCCTCCTCAACTCACCCTGTAGGTCATTCGGTCCTGTTCTAAGGGCAGATTTCCAGAGACCTCGATTCCACCATGCACAATTTTCTCCAGAAGGTATCTGCCTTCTGTTAGGAACTAACAGGGGGTTTTCAGACTTCAGATAGGTGACTCCTTCTTTGATCAGCCACACAGTGTTCATCGGGGAAACAAATAACTGTGGCATTTGGAAATAAACCTTCTCCTCCTCCACATCTTGGACATAGGGCCTGTCAAGATTGTGCAAAGCTTTTGTACCCACACCCAAAGCTTGGAGAGCCTCTACCGCTCTATGCTAAAGAAAAGGGACCCCCTTGCAAGTATAGCTGCAACTCTACACTGCTCTAAAAACTTTTCTCAGTGGGAGTAGTGAGATGAACCAGAAGCTGGCTTTGCTCCTGAAGGTGCCAGATGGGACTTGGAAAGCTTGCCGTAAAATGCAAGCCACAGAGAACAACTTTCCAGGAAAAGTCCCAGAAACTACCAGTAGGAAAAAAAGCCCGTGGAGAAGACGAGTCATAATCTTTCCCAAGCAAAACTGGCCTCACTTCACATATCACTGAAACACTCACTCCCCTGAAACACTGAAGGGAACGACAAAATACCAGACTCAGATGAAGACAATCATGCAGTTCACCAGCTTCCAAAACCAGTGTAATGTCTGCATGATCTGCCTTTTGTTCTGCACAAAGCCACGGAAGACTTCTGAAGAAACCCCATTAGCACTGTAGGGTGCACACAGACCATTTGCTATGGATATAAAACCTCAGTCTAGCTACCTGGGGATCCTTGCTGTAGCAGGGCTGCAGTGATTTTCAGCTCATTTCAAACAGGGAAGCACGCCCAGTAATGACAGCTATTTAGGGGAAGACCACAGTTTCTACACGCTAACCAGCACACTGCAGATTCCTCATCATGCTCAGAGGCAAAAGAAAACCTTCCACAGCAGGGCCATTTCCATTTCCCTTGCTGCCAAGTGTCATACTTCCCTTGTGATCCCTGAGAAACTTCTTGCAATACCAGGTTTTGCTGCTTTCCCATTACCTTGTGGCAGAAACTTGGAAGAAAGCACAGAATGGTAGAAAGACAGCCCCAAATTTGTGGCACTTTCACAAGATCCAAGCTATTCAGGTTCTCCTCTGCCATAAGACTCCCTCTGAACAGCGCTGGGCAACTTCCATCATCTCTGTGCTCAGTCTAATGCAAGACCAACTTATTTTTCACAGGAGTACTGGATGCTAATCATATCAAACAGGCAAGCACTATGCTAGTGGAGTTTTCCAGATACAACAGAGAAAATGTTGTTCACCACCATTGATGTGCTCTTTAAGAAGAGGGGCTGGGTGGAGGGGCAGAGGAATTTCCCTGGGTTGGAGGCCAAGCGGTAACATTTTGGAGTTTTCTTTAATTATTAACCTAATCTTGACCTGTCAGTTCCAGAAAGAGCATACGACGCCTTTGATCAGCCTCGTTACCTTTTGCCTCTCACTTGCAGAGGATGTGGGTGCTGTGGGCTACCAGAAAATGTAGGTAGAATATCTTTCTCTTGCTTGAGAGCACATTTCACAGCGAAACCAACCGTTCATTAATAACTCCATACAACAGTCCTGGGCCCCATAAGCATCTGTCTGCGAGATATCAGGGAAGCCAAAATGCAAGCACAATGTCGGGTCCCACAGGCTCATCTCTGAGTCAGCCTTCCTTCGGGGACAATAGCTGAAGACACTGTGCTACTGCCCTGTGGAGGAGAGAAAACCCACCAGGGCCCTCCTGTCAGTTTTGGCAGACACAGGCTCTAAAACTCGGCGCTGTGGTCGAATTCAAACCATTGGTTACAGGTTCCCTCTGGTACGGATCCTAACTGGCCAAGTTCTAATTGAAATAAACTTGAAATAGATTTAACTAAAATCAAATTTAAAATGTTGTTTCATTCATAACTTTCCGCTCTAGCTATTTGAATACCGCTGTTGAGTACAGTAAATATAATTTTTCATTTTTCTGTAGATTTTGGCAAACCTTTTGAGCCCTGGCAGTGAATCAAACTACAGTAGCATAAGGAAATTACTTTCCAATTTGCCAGGCAACTCCTAAATTTACATAACAATGTGACCTTCCTGTATATTCGCAATATGTTGAAAACCAGTGGAAATAGGGTTATTGAATCTCCCAAGTAGTTTCCGTGAAAGTAAACTTTCTAATAATGGGAGAGAAGAAAAGGAATTTTTTAGAAAGGGAACTGTATAAGCCTTACAAATAAAAATATAAGGACTACTGCTCTAGAGGGAGGGAAAGCCCTCTCTGTAAAAAGTACTAAGCAGCCAATAAAGCAATAAAGATTCATTGATTTCTGTTCAGTTTTTGTTGTTTTATATCCATGTATCAAGTTTTTGAACCTCTTCACAGAGGAAGTACTTACCATGGAAATTGAGGGGAGAATGGCTACCTCATTTTTGTTGACTGTGTAAATGTTTAATAACAAATTCTACTTCAGGAAAAAAAAAAAAAAAAAAAAAAAAAAGGAATCTGTGCTTTAGTGCAGGCCTTGTATTCTGTCCTCTACTTTTATTGCTTATGTGAATACATGCTTTTCAAAAAGTATGTTTATAACTACAGATATTAAGTGACAAAAAGAAAAAGATGATCACAGAAAAATGAAGGCAAATGTATATGACTGGAGATGTACTGGTTTTACTCTTATACACTAACTTATTGGGGCCTTGGATCTGATTAAGCTATGTCTGGCACACCACATAAGCAAGAAGGCAATCATGGGTGACATCTATAACATACCCAGACCCTGAAGCACAGGGGAAGAGTGGGAGGGATATGACAGCATGCAATGATGCTCCTGGAGCCAGTATGCCAGAATGCTAAGTTTTTCTCACGCCTCTAAACAAAATAAGTCTTCAGTGGTCTTGGCCTGCTTCACCATCAACTGGGGGCTTCCCTTGATGGGGAAATCCCTAGCTTCTTTGTTGTAGTGACTTTCCAGCCATGAAAGAGACTGGAGGATACCCTGTGAATCAGACCCCTGACATTAAGTTGAGTGAATATCATCAAAGTCAATGAAAAGAATTTTTATGACATTAAGTCTGATAAAAAAGCACAAATGGCAGCCCGTCAGTACACCCACTATTCAATTCCTGATGTGTCTTTCAAGTCAAGACTCAGTTTTCTCAAGGTGAACACAGAAAGAACTGGCAGAAATCCAATTTGTATAAATTGTGAAGTATCGGTGATACTTCAGAACTTCATGCAAAACATCCTTAGCAGATTCTGTCCTGGTAACGCTCTCAACTTTAACAGAAGAAAGACTGAGAAGAAAGGAAAGCATACAGGTTTAATTTTTGAAAAGTACGATTGGTACAGTCACTAAAAGATAGGGCAGGTACTTAAACAATGCATGTGATGTGTTGTTTTTTGATGGTGGTAGTGGTGTTTTGTTTGGTTTT